TAATGCCAAGACTGCTTCGTGCCGGCACTGGCTTTAAAATAGCTCACATGGACAGGGTAAGCTGTGCTTTCTGAAAGAGAAACAGCAAATTTTACTGTTTTCGGGGACATGCTGCTTAGTCCTCTCTTGGGTCAAACATACGCCCCAGTGATAAGGCAGTGATCTGTTTCTTGGCACATACAACACATTTTTAGGTGTTACTATTAGAATCTTTAAAAAAAAAAAAAAGATTAATTAATTTAAAATCAGACATATTTCAGTGTTCACTTCTAGTATAGCAGTATAAATCCCACTAATTTCTATAGCACACATGTAACTGCAGTAATTCGGCATTTTACAGAGCTTCAGTGATTTGCTCTGAATAAACAAAACCTTCTTCTGTGCTAACAATTTAACAGCAGCCTAGGAGAATGCTGGCAAGGTAGAGAAGTGGTTTGCTTATCCCTGTAGTTTTCTGCTCACCGAGCATCCTGTGAGAGTGCCCCTTCCCGGGCTGTGCTGTATCGACAGGCGGAGTCCCACTAGCTGAAATGGATTCAAATCCTGTTTCACATTCCTTTAGGCCTTCTTTACAAAGGGAGCCGTGCCAGGTTAACTACATGTGCATTTTCAACTGGTGATTATTAGCATATAGATACTATTATTGTGTTTTATGATCCATGAACCAATACTAGAAAAATGTATCGAAGGCACTAGGCACCTTTGGAATGGCATTTTGGGTAAACTAATCATCAGTCTCTGGTGAAGACCTTATCTTGAACATGTGAGAAAAGGACAACCCTATTCATCACCAGAAGTCGAAGTTAGCTAAGAATGTAAGAAATGTCACACAGGATTAGAAATAGGAAGTTTAGCCCTGTACACCGTCTTTAACATTTGCTGTTAGTGATGCATTGAGAAAAAGGACATTTAAATGGTGATATTCGTCTCAGTATATCTTTCTAGCACCCAGCAAGAAATTCACTTAGCTAGATTTTGCACCTTAGACATCAACAGACCTGTCCAGTCCTCTCTGGAGCCCGCTGATACTTCTGATCTCAACAACAGCCAGGAACAGGGATTTCAGTGATTTAGTGTGTTGTCAAAAAGTGCACCCTTTTACTGCTTCAAGCCTGCTGTCTCTAGTGCTTGCATTGCATGAAACAGTGAATAATCATTCCCTCTTCACTGCCTGCCTGCCTGCCTTTCTTGATGTTACAGACCTGCTTGTCCCTGGCATTTAATTGTTTCATCCACGCTATGCCACGGCATCAAGGCAGACTATCACCAGACACAGGTACTTGCAAATCTAGAGTGTACCTCTAGCAGGAGTGTATGATTCCTGGGGACGTCATTGCGCAATACTGCCGTATGCACAGACTCGGTGCAGCATCCTCCTGGAGGTGTATACCTCTCCCCAGTGCCTGCAGAGGGAGCTGATGGTGATGGTCCCCAACACACGATTTCAGCCACTGCAACAGTCTTGTAGGATGAATCCCAGGCCCAGATTCAGTGTACTGAAGCATGTCCAGTTATGAGCATGTTGGTCAAAGTCCCACTCAGGTAGCATGAGGCACCAGAGCTTTTGATTGCACAGTGTGAGA